GTGAAGCAAACATCTCTCAGCATTGTCAACTAAAACTTTTCCTGATAGAATTGGATTACATATAATTTATATCTCCAATGTCCAGCTCAAAATGGAATGAAGAAACACAAACAATATGCTGAGACAAGCTGGAAGTTCTCAGAGTATCAGGAGCATTGTACCCTCCATGTCTTTTTTATGGCTTAGGTCATTCATCAGAGCTCCTAAGGCAATTCTCAGACATGGTTAGAAGGTAAAGTGAAATAGATCGAAATATTCTGGTTCAACCAGAAGAGTCTGTAGCTGGTCAGCCACCAGATTATCAAAGGCCATAATGAAAAAAGGAATTTAATGGATATTTGATCGCTATCTGGATTGTATCTTGGACTACATGGTTGAGTTGTTTTCACTATCTGGCCTTGTACTAGAATTGGTCCTTCCATCCACTGACACCTGCCCAATTTCCAACCTAATCTTTCAGCTGAAAATGGCCATATTTTTACTTGCTAGAGGACAGTTCTCTATTTGTAGTACTGTCCAGTCCAAGCCTAGTGTAAATGTAATGACTCTGGAAAAGAAGAACTAGGAAGATGATCCACAACAACTAGCAGTGAACAGACAGCAGACTGAGCAAACAGGCATACAACTCACCTGGGCACTATGTCTCCTGTTTTGTATTTCTATTTTGATTGTAGTAATTATTTCCAGATTTGCATCTATAGATATCAGTTGACATATGGAATGCATTTCTGTCTTTGGTGATGCATTTTATTTATTTATTTATTTATTTAAAACTTTTGTATTCCGATCTTCTCTACCTCCGTGGAGGGACTCAGAGCGGCTAACAGCAAGAATTCAATGCTAACAATAATACCTTTCAAAACATCATACATAAACAATAGGTTAAAATACATATAAGATAATTCGAAAAAAGGGTTTTTCTAAACTTTGCATTGACGTTTTCCCAGTGCTCATTTTAACACTTCTGTGAGCCCTGCTTGTAAGAATACATGGAGATTATTGCCCAACCAAAAAGTTTTCCAGGCTTTGAGTAGGAAATTGTCAACAGTGGCTATTCTGAACTATCTGCAACAGTGCAGGGCAAGGAATGAAAAGTGACAGGTAGTTCACATAAATATGTAATTTCTCTGGCTATGTGCGAGTCATGAGATTCCTCCCTCATGCTTTTGGGACTGGAGGAAAAAGATCAGGCCATTTTGAGAGTCTGGTCCTAAAACCTGGGAAAAACCTAGGTGTCATGTTTGAGAAAGTTGCCCCAATTGCATTTTTGCATGCGCCATACTGACTGAAGAAGATAGAAAATATACTGTCCCCAAGATCTTGTTGAATATCAGCTCTTATCAGTCCCAATTGACATGACCATGCTTGGGGATTATGGGAGTTGTCATGTAATATTTTGGGAGTAACACGGGTTCTCCATTCCTGGGTGAAAGGCTCACGACTTGTTCTTCATGCATATCATTAATGGGAAAGGAGCCTCTGGTGGCGCAATGGGTTAACCCTTTTGCCAGCAGGACCGAAGATTGACTGGTCAGACGTTCGAATCTGGGAAGAGTGTGGATGAGCTCTCTCTGTCAGCTCCAGCTCCCCATGCGGGGACATGAAAGCAGCCTTCCAAAAGGATGGTAAAACATCAAAACATCCAGGCATCCCCTGGTCAACATCCTTGCAGATGGCTAATTCTCTAACACCAGAAGTGACCTACAATTTCTCAAGTTGCTCCTGACATTAAAAAATATAATAATAATGGGAATAGTACTGCATATGCAACTAGATAATTGTTTATTTATTGTTTGATTTTAGAGTTCCTCGCAATCTCGGATTATACCTGCCATAGATGTGAGTGAAACGTCAGGAGAGAATACTTCTGGAACATGGCCATACAGCCCAGAAAACTCACAGCAACCCAGTGATTCCAGCCATGAAAGCCTTCAACAACAAATTATTTCACCTTCAATTCTAAAAACATGTATATTGACAGTTCTTGGACATTTTCTTTCCAAGAAAATAAATCTCCATGGGCTCCAATCATCACATCCATCTATCTGTGTAAAAAGAGGAAATATAAGATGATTATTATGTAGCCGAGTGAAAAATCATTCAAGCAAAGTCAGTCTGCTCGAAGGGGGTTAAACATTTTTAACTGTAGGCTCAAAGACTTCTCATAGATAAGAGTGCATTCTAGTGGCAGAAGCTATCCAATGCAGGCATAGTCAAGACTGTAAAGCCAAGAAGAATCTAAACTGAGGCGAAAGAGGAAGAGGGGAGGGTTTCAAGCTACATGTGAATCCTGCAGAAAAATGACAGATTGTTTTCAGTCATTTCCCCACTCCCCCTTACACACCTGCTAGCTTCTTTTTGAAGGCCACATGACCTGCTGCCTTGTAGCAGACATATAGAAGGCAGACCCAACTGTGGTTTTGAGAGAGAGAGAGAGCCTGTATTTTATTTACAGCTTTTTAAAGGTACACGTTGGATGAGAGGAAGACTCTGGTAGACACATCCTTCCTGGCTATGAAGAGATAAGATTGCCATGCTGCAGTCTGCAAGGTGATGTCCTCCTCTTGAACCTCTTCTTGGTTGAGATTTTACAGTTTTCCTTTTCCAGATGTGGGATGTTTTTGGCAAGGTAAGGAGGTTCAGGAGAGAGTGGAGAAGGATAAAAAAAGGTAAGGATGTTTCTGCAGTCAATGAAACGTGATTTGTATGGCAAAAGGTTTTCCTTTGATATTCTGTTTAGATCCTTCATGACTCCCTCCCCCCTTTTAAACGACTTTGCATATCTAACCAAGTATGTCAGATAAGGAAGAAGCTTTAACCATACACACATAGAGACAAATACACACAACACAAGTGGCTGGTGTATTGCTTTCCTGAACAAATGACGCCGCTACAAAGTCACATGGATGATCTCCTTGCAGCACCAAAAGTCATTGTCACGTGCCAAAGGACACCTGCTGTAATGAAACCTGATGACAGGGTTTATCTTGAAGGGCTTATCAGTCTATCCCTGCAAACCGCTTCTTGGCCTACCCCAATGCATTTTCCATTGCAAAATATAATATTACAGGTATGTTTGGTTGCCCTCCCGCTAATGCTGGGGACGTGCTTTGGCACAGAGCACACGGGGACACTGACGTGTTGATGCCTCCATTCTTCTCCCAGGCAAGGCCACCTGAACAGGAATGTGAGGTTTGGCCGACTCCTGGGCTCTGTCTGCAGCATCTGGAGATGAAGAAAACAGATAGCATGGAGATGGATGCAGTTCCATGAGCTAGATAGGTGGAGAAAACATTGATGAGCCAGGTGAATTATTCACACAGAATGAAGAGAGGCACAAGCAGGTGCCTGCAAGTACACACCAAACTGCTATTAGAGCAGTGTTTCTCAACCTGGGGGGGGGGTCATGAGGGAATGTCAGAGGGGTCGCCAAAGACCATCAGAAAACATATATTTCTGATGGTCTTAGGAATCCCTTTGGCAGAGAAGGATGAAGATCTCTCCACCTGTCCTTGTCTTCCTTTTTGGAAAGAGATGGCGAATCCTCCCACTAAAAGCCCTCCTCCGCTGTGATTGGCTGGCTGTTTCTGAGACTGAGGGGAGGGCTGTTTCTGAGACTCCAAGTGGGGAGGGAAGAGCAGGAATGCTCTGTGCATGGCAGCATGGTGTGCACGTGTTAGCAAGGGAGAGCGTGCGAGGCTGGAGGGAGGCTTGTGCCAGCATGTCCCTTCAAGGGAAACTGGGACCAATTCTATCATTGGTGAGGTTCAGAATGCTATTTGATTGTGGATGACCTATACATTCCAGAAACTACAACTCCCAAATGACAAAATAAACTCCACCAGTATTCAAATTTGGGCGTATTGGGTATTTGTGAATGAAAATACATCCTGCATATCAGATATTTACATGACAACTCATAACAGTTGCAAAATTTCAGTTATGAAGTAGCAATGACTGGATTGACCTTGAAGGAGCTGGGGGTGGTGACGGCCAACAGGGAGCTCTGGCGTGGGCTGGTCCATGAGGTCACGAAGAGTCGGAAACGACTGAACGAATGAACAACAACAAAAACAAAGTAGCAACAAAAAAAATTATATGGTTGGGGGTCACCACAACATGAGGAATTAGGGGGTTGCAGCATTCGGAAGGTTAAGACACACTGTATTAGAGGCTCAGAGACCAAAAAGAAAAATGTAGGAGGAAGAGAAGAAGGGGAAGAGGACAAGAAGGAGAAGAGGAAGAACAAGAAGACGACATGGGGAATAGGATAAAAGGAGGAAGGGGACAAGAGGAGGAAGAGGAGAGGAAGGCAGTGATTGCAACGAATGGAGGAGGAGAAAAAGATTCACAGACACACACACATCCCATTCCTTATGCATACTCCCTTGGATCAAGGTCTGTGCAGAGTTCAACAGCGGTTGTTGAAGGGTTTCATGGCTGGAATCATTCGGTTGTTGCATGTTTTCCATGCTGTATGGCCATGTTCCAGAAGAATTCTCTCCTGATGTTTCGCCTGAATCTGTGGCAGGCATCCTCAGAGGTTGTGAGGTCTGTTGGGAACAAGGAAAAAACTCTTGTATGTTTGAGGCAAGTGTGAATGTGAAGTGTGAAGCCTTGCAGCTTCAAGGTTTGGCTGCTTCCTGCCTGGGGGAATCTTTTATTAGTAGGTAAGTCAGACAGGAGTTCTACAGATATTTAAACCCCACTTGCTTTGTTTCCAACCTTTGAGGATGCCTGCCATAGATATGGCCCAAATGTCAGGAGAGAATGCTTCTGGAATATGGTCACACAGCCTGGAAAACACCCAACAACTCAAACTACAAACCCCAGAACTCTGCAGGAGACAGAAACCAGATTTTAAGTTTGCTCCCAAGTACAAGCGCAGAAGATTATAACCTTGGGGACACTGAATTAACTACTTCATCCACTGAAAATCCAGTTTCTGCCTCCTGCAGAATTCTGGGGTTTGTAGTTTAGTGAGGCTGTTAAAGGCTGAATGGTCCTTGGTGTCTCTTTTAAGGACCTCATCACACTAGAGAATGAATCCACTTTAAATCCGGATTCTGCCTCCTGCAGAATTCTGGGGTTTGTAGTTTAGGAAGGAGCCTTTCACAGCCTCCCTAAACTATAAACCCCAGAATTCTGCAGGAGGCAGCAGCCGGATTCAAAGTGGATTCATTCTCTAGTGTGATGGAGAAGTAAAAAATGACCGGAGTGTTTCGAAATCTCCCCAACTCTCCCCTTTGGAGGGAAGAGAAACTTTGGTCCTCCTTGCCCCGCATAAAGGAGGGGGCTGCCTGGAGGCGACGTGTGTGCCCTGCTGGCCACCGCGCTGCTGCTCCTTCCAAGTAGCCCAGGCTTTGGGAAGCCTCGAAGTCAAGGAGCCCCAGCACCAGCACCACCGCCGCCGCCGCCTCTCCTCCCTCCTCCTCCTCCTCCTCCTCCTCCTCCTCCGCCCCGCACACACACACACACACACACACACACACACCCGGAGAGTGTGCACTGATCTTGCCCTGGTTGCTGGCACCCATTCAGGCTGAGGTGTCATTGGGATCTCAGATTGCAGCAAGGGGCTGGCAGGCAGCCAGGGGCAGTCTATTTAAAAGACATGCCTGCTCGGCACTATTCAGTCTCTTTAGAAACTTCTCCAGGGGGAAAGTGCTGGGAGATCTACAAAGTGGAATTCTTTTCTTTGCGGGGTTTTTTTTCTTTCTTCTCCCCCTCCCCACCCTGCGCTCTCTCTCTCTCTCTCGTTTTGCAGCCCCCCCTCCTTCGGTCTTCTTTCTACTGCCGACTTGGGTACMAAAAACCCTCCAACTTTACAGAAAACCTCTTTGTTGTTCTTTAACCCAACCTAGGAAGAGGAGGGTTCACAGCAGCCCCCCCCCCCTTCTTTTTCCTAGCCAGTCCCAGGCTGAACCTCATCTTGACAAAGCCCGGTTCTACCTGCTTGCTCGGCTCCTCTCGGCTCCCCTCCTCTTTTTTCCTCTCCCCCCAATTTGCTGCAGACTCTTATCAGGACAGTTGAAAAGAAGCTTCTTGGGCTCCCTTCCCAGCCCGTTGCAGACGCTGCTTTCCTGGAGAGGCAAGTGGATTATTTCCTACCTTTTTTCTGTGCAGCCTCGCTTCAGGTTGCCTTGTGCTTTTCTTTTCTTTTGGGGGGAAAAAAACCCCTTTCCAGTGACTTTAAAAAATCTCCAACCTGTTGCACCTCAGTAATTCTTGCAAGCGGCATCGCCTGCAGATTTTGACAGCCTGGTCCATCACACACATCCTGCTCCTTGTAAAAAAAAATCCACAGGCACACCTGTGTCCTACTTGTTGCTATCCATCATTTTGAAGTAAAAAGGCTTTTTTTGGAATACTTTTTTGGCATCTCTTTTTGCTTTTTTAAAAACCCAGAGCTTTCTTTTTCTCCCCACCCAAAAGGACAGTAGCAAATCCTTGCCTGACAGTGCCTTGAAGATGCTCCTGACGCAGGCTCTGTGCTTGTCCCTCTTCGTGGGGCTCTCGCAGGGCTTGGGCTCCTTCGTCCACTGCGAGCCCTGTGATGACAAAGCCCTCTCCATGTGCCCTCCCAGTCCCCTGGGCTGCGAGCTGGTGAAGGAACCGGGCTGCGGATGCTGCATGACTTGTGCCCTGGCCGAAGGACAGTCCTGTGGGGTGTACACTGAGCGGTGCGCCCAGGGCTTGCGCTGCCTGCCGCGCCAAGGAGAGGAGAAGCCCTTGCACGCCCTGCTCCATGGCCGAGGGGTCTGCCTCAATGAAAAGAGCTACCGGGAGCAAGCCAAAAACGGTGAGTCCTGCCTGGGGCCTTGGCTCGGGTACAAAGGGTTATCGCTTTGTTCACTCTGCTCTGTTCTTTCGCCGTATCCTCTGAGCATCTTTCCACTTGCACCTTGAGGCACCACCTGTAGCATCAGTCTATCTTCTCAATCCCATTATGCTCATAGTCATCCCTCCCTTGCTTGTCTCTTGCCTTCTCTGGATACCCACCAACTGTGCCTTCGAAACCCAGACATCCCCTCCAATCCCACTCCCACTCACCCTGAGAACGCAGCCTTCCTAAACTTTGCTTCCTCTGCAGTCAGTGTCACATCTTCTTAGTCTCAGGTGACCGGCTTTTCTATCTCCCATTGCAAAGCTGTTTTTACCCCTTGTGACATGCTGGTTCCTTACTCAGATGGGTTTGCCTTGCCACCTGTTGCATCGCCACCCTAGCTCCGTACTCCTTCTCTGCTTCCCCATCTTTAGTGCGCCAGCTTTCTTGGTCTCGCCACTTTCTTCTTCTGGCAATGTTGTCACCAGTGCAGGACCTGGGAGAGATGTCTGGGGCCCAGCATTCACCCAAAAACCCACCCACACCACCACATAGTCAGACATACCTTTTTGAAGTAAGGGAGCTGTTACACATTACCATCTAAAAGGAGCGGAAGACAAGATCATACATCCAAAGTCAACTAGATGTACCACTGAAGGGTACCTTCCATTTAAACCTCCCTTCTTTTTACCCTTATCATGAGATTGTAAGGATTTGCTGCAAGCTATCCTTTTCAATCTATCCCATTCAACGTGTTGTATTCTGGGTTTTTGTGAGTTTTCCGGGTTATATGGCCGTATTCCAGAAGCATTCTATCTTGATGTTTTGCCTGCATCTATGGCAGGCATCCTCAGAGGTTTTGAGGTCACAACCTCTGAGGATGCCTGCCATAGATGCAGGCAAAACATCAGGAGAGAATGCTTCTGGAACATGGCCATACAGCCCAGAAAATACACAACAACCCAGTGATTCTGGCAATGAAAGCCTTCGACAACGTTGTATTTTGTATCTGTGTGGCAAAAAGTATACAGCTACCCAACTGAGTCCTGTTCAGTCCAAATCTCCATACCTGTATCATCCTTTGTCTCGCCCTCAGCATGAGATTTTTCTAGATCATGCAACTGAGCATTGGGTTGTTGTATGTTTTTTGGGCTGCATGGCCATGTTCTAGAAGCATTCTCTCCTGACGTTTTGCCTGCATCTGTGGCAGGCATCCTCAGAGGTTGGTGAGGTCTGTTAGAAACTAGGAAAATTGGGTTTATATATCTAGGAAAGTTCACGGATATATAAACTGAAGGTTGTTCCCTAGTAAAATACTCGGACATAGAAATGGGCACGTGCAACACTGTTTATTGAAAGGCATGCTGGCAATTCAGCATTGTGATAGGGAGTGATGATAAAATCCAACCTTTCTTTCCTGATTCATTTTTTCCATCATATATTCCTATTCTTCTTTGAGCTGTACCTGGTCTCCAAAGAGGAGCTTTCCACTTCCCCCCAAAAGCCAGTGTTTCTTCGTCCCTCCCCTTCTGGAAAAGCAGGCATCTGCTTTCTGCCAAAGCACCTATTGCATTCAGGCAGCAAAGATTTGCAACTACAGCTTCTCCTTCCCAACACCCAATAAATCTCTTGATAGCTTTATGACACCCTCCCCCTTCCTTCTTTTTACGCTGCTATTTGAAAGTATTGGCTCCGATGGGTTGTCCTCTCCTCTGGCAGAGAGAAAGTTTCTTTTACAAAAAGGAAAAGCCAAATGTCAGGTGCTGCTCTTGGAAGAGGCTGAAGGCAAAGGCTTTGGCTGGTTCATTCCACAAGGTGGAACTGGTCTCTGTTATGTGAGAAGAAGGGGGTGGAGATTGGACTCGGTTTCCTGTTTTGTTTTGTTTTTCAAACCCAGTAAAACTGTGCAAGAGTCCTCATGCCCTAGAACTGTGTGAGCTATCCCTGTTGCATGTCAGCGACTGTGTGTGTTTGTGTTTGTGTGTGTGTTTGAACAGTAATCTGAACAATATCGCTCCATGCAAATAGAGCCACATGCAAAGCAACGCATTCATCTGCACCAATGGAGTTACAACAGTGCCACTTACAGACAGAGGAGACAAGCAACAGTTTGACTTTTTGATTCAGTCTGAACACGCCTGAACGTTTTCTCCTCCCACCCTCCCTTCACCACCCCTCCCCTCCCCTCCTCCCCTTCTCTCTGCTTACTCTTCCAGCTGTAGAGCAGGTGCTCCAAGAAAGCCTATATCCAGGAGAGCTAAATTCCAAAGTCTCCGAGTAGCCAACGGCTGTAGTGTTACAGGCAGCGAAACTCAAAGTGTGATGAAGCAGAATGTGGAATTACTCTCCTGTACATACAGATGTTGTAAAGATTTGCAGTTCCCTTAAGTAATGTGTCACCCCTTGACTGAAATTTAGTTAATCTGCAATGTGTGTACGTTCAAATCACCTGTCAACTCTCATGGCGACCACATTAATTTTCCATAGGATTTTCTTTTGTAAGGAATACTCATAATCAGAAGTGGTTTTGCCAGTTCCTTCCTCTGAAATACAGCCTACAGCAACTGATATTAGTTGGTGGTGTCCTCTCCAAGTACTAAGCAGGGCTGGCTCTGTTTAGCTTCTAAGATTAAATAGGATCTGGTGCCTTTAGGCATGGCTTACATGAAGGCTTCTTTCAAATTATGTCAGAGTTGCACTCCCTGCACACACACACACACACACACACACACAAAGAAATGGGAAAGGAAGAAGTAGAATACAAATGGCAGTGGAGTTATTCCCAAAGGATCATCCGTAAATGAGATTTGCATGTTACCAGTTTTTGATTGCTTGCATTAGTGTATTAGTCACTTCTGTGGTCTTTGCAATCAGGTAGGTCTAGATCAAAACCCCAGACTTCCCATGGTTGCTTGCCTTGGAACAATTATTAGGAGTCAACTGGAAAAATTACATTTTGGAGACTTCAACTCCCCAAATCCTCTGACCCAGATGGCCACAGGCCAGCTGTCTGGGGGATTCTGGGAACTGTTTTCCAGAAAAGTAACTTTCCCAGTTTTGTTGCTGTTTCCAGGGGTAACTTTTGAGATCCCTCTGAGAATTAGTTTTGTTGACATATATCATATGGTGATATTGTATTCTGATAAGACTGTAGTATTCTGGACAGCTTTTCAAAAAAAGGGGGGGGGCATTTTGCTAACTCTTAGTCTGCCACCTACCTCATTCCCTTTTAGAGCCCCCCGTGGCGCAACAGGTAAAACCACTGAGCTGCTGAACTTGCTGACCAAAAGGTCAGCAGTTTGAATCCAGGGAGCGGGGTGAGCTCCCACTGTTAGCTCCAGCTTCTGCCAACCTAGCAGTACAAAAACATGCAAATGTGAGTAGATCAATAGGTACTGCATCTGCGGGTAAGGTAATGGCACTCCATGCAGGCATGCTGGCCACATGACCTTGGAGGCGTCTACGGACAACGCCGGCTCTTCAGCTTAGAAATGGAGATGAGCACCACCCCCCAGAGTCGGACATGACTAGACTTAATGCCAAAGGGAAACCTTTACCTTTACCTTATTCCCTTTGCCAAGCCTCACAAACTAGTCCAGCTCCTTAATTAGACTTTAACTGTCTGGTATAAAATTCACCTTTCCCTGGTGACTATAGTGCATTGAGAATAGATGACTTACCATTTTGTACCTGTAAGATTTTAAAATAATAATCATAACAACTTCAGGAATTTCTGAGGGCCAGGCAGAGGAAAAATAAAAGCTTTTTGGCACCAGAACAGTAGAGTGTGAGAACGGAGAAATATATTTTCATAGGCATGTTTCTAAGCAACTGGTGAAGGGGAAAAAATGAAGTTTGACTTGAACTTGAAGGCTTGCGCCAGCTTGGCCAGGAAATCCAAGGAGCAAGTGTTCAGGAAGCCAGTCCTGGCTGTGGTCTATCAATGACCAGTGTTGGCCTAGGAATGGAAATTGAAGAGAGGGGAAGAAATCAGGAATATATATATAATACACTGTGGTGGGAAGAAACCAGTGATCCTTCCGTTGCAGAGAACTTCTGTACTGATTGCTTCTGAAGCTGGGAGTTTTGTTTCATTTTCTTGCCTCTATTTTGTACTATGGTAGGAGGGACACAGCACAACATTAGGTGTCATATTGCTCCTAGGGGGCTGCATTGGTTTTGATTTAACTTTGATATTATTTTTTTTACAATCCCAATTTTGTCAAGTTTACACCCCTGCTGCCATGACTCCATCCCCTTGGAACTTGGGATTGGTAGTTTGGTGGGACATGTAGACTTCTCTGCTAGAGGAGTCCAGTCAGTTTCCCCAATCTACACAAGAGAATTCTGAGTACCTCAACTGAAGTACCAATCCCAGGATTTAGGATTCTAGGATGGGGCCCTGCCAGATAGAGTGGAATGAAACTGTTATTGGGCAATGCCAATCCACTCCCTGTGAGGCTTTGAGTTGTTTTTCAACACATCTCATCTAGCTTTCTCATTTTTTTTCTTTAAAAATGGGGAAATATGCTTTTTTTAAAAAAAACTGTGAGTCTTCATAACTCAAGTCCCTGAGCTTCCCATCTGCAGGAAAAAATAAAGTAACTCTTCTAAGCACCTGAGGAAGTAGGGTGCATTTACACTGCAGAATTAAATCCGTCTGCCACCACTTCAACTGCCAATTTGTTTCTCTCAGTCTCCGAGGTGCCATCTGATATTTGTTAATCCTCCTGCCACAGTGACACAATGGGCTAAACCATTGTGCCGGCTGAACTGCTGACCTGAAGATTGGTGGTTTGCATCCGTGAGACAGGTTGAGCTCCTTTCTGTCAGCTCCAGCTTCCCATGAGAAAAGACTCCCACAGGATAGTGACACATCCAGGTGTCCTCTGGGCAATGTCTCTACAGATGACCAATTCTTTCACACCAGAAGCGACTTGCAGTTTCTCAAGTCACCGCTGACACATTTTTTTAAA